CCCTAAAGCCCCTAAAAGCCCTAAACCCTAGAAGTCTAAAGCCTAAACAACCCACCCGAAGCCCGAAGCTCCCGAGCCAGAGAGCCCGATTCCGCCTTGCTTAAGGAATAGACCTGTAATTCATTTGTTTAGGGTTTTAGGGTTTTAGGGTTTAGGGTTTCCTTAGATCATACTATTAAGGCCCCCTATAATTTCAGGGTATATTCCTTATTTAAGGGGTATTGGGCTCTCTTGGCAAGGCAGCCTCTTCTTCGGAGGCGCCCTGGGCATGCTTTTCAACATCAGCTTTGGGGCTTAAGGCTTTTAGGGCTTTAGGGTTTAATGTTTAGGGCTTTAGGGTTTGGGGTTTTTAGGGTTGTAGGGGTTTAGGGTTTAGGGGTTATTAAGTTTTACCATCCTATGTACTTGGAAGAGCAACATAAGAGCCCGAAAGGGTTGTGTTGATTTCGGCGAAGTTGGTTCAGGGTTAGCAAGGCAGAGCAATAAATAACCCAAGAACCCTTAACAAACCCTATTCCCAAAAGGCAGCCACCCGGTTCAGGGCTTATAGATCCTCTATGGTTTAGGATTTGGGGTTTAGGCTGTAATTAGCCAAAGTCCAAGGACATGGCTCCTCCCTGGAGCAACTGAATGATCCCAGCAGCATTACCTTCTACAGAGGCTATGCTTATATCGTTGACCGGGGTAACCACCGCGTCCTGGAGGTGAAGCCGGGAGACACTGGAGGCTACATCTTCTTTGGAGGACTCTTTTTTACAACTTTAGGACTCAGCGTTGAGATTTGGTGTCTAGGGTGAAGGGGGTTTCAGAACTTTTTCGTAGGTATGAGTATACGGTCGAAACAGAAACTGGAGATGATTCTGACCTTTGAGCTATAATTACCCTCCACGAGGAAGAGGCGTGGGCTCTTCCCTGCATCAGCTGAACCGGCCTCGGTCGATAGCCTTCCTTGAGAGCAATGCCTACATCTTCGATGAAGGCAACCGGCGCGTGCTAGTGGCTCAGCAGTCCAGGAGGTGACCATGGTTAATGCCATCTTTCATCTGCGCCCTAAACCCTAAACCGTGAACCTCGGTCCCCGGCTGCTAGCCCAAAAAACCCGTAACCATGTAGAGAACTGAGCAACTGAGCTCCCTAAACCCTAAACCTCCCTAAACCTCCCTAAACCCCTAAACCCACTAAGCCTCAGCCCTACCCCCCCCTAAACCGCCCCCCCCTAAAGCCCGGCACCTTTCAACCCGCGCTGTTGGGTGCCTAAGGTGGTCCGACCCCTGGGGCTCCAAGCTGTTCAGATCCTGGGAGGAGGCTCCACTTCCTTCTTGCCTCAACTGGGTCATCTGGTGGATCTGGCCTTCTTCCAAAAGAGCCTAGGCTCCCCAATAGTACCCTTTTGCCCTTTTTTTTTTGGGGTTCCCTTGTGAAACTCAAATAGTAGGAAAAACTGACTGGTTCTTAGTAGGGAATGGGAGAATGGGTTTTGGGGACTACTATAGGGGACCTTAACGGACTATCATAGGGATCCATTCCCCCTTTCCCTACTAAGAACCAGGGGGAAAAAGGGTACCCTGATTATTCAGGGCTACTCAGGAACCTAGGAGCCTGAGGCAGAACTAAGAGGATTTTAGGGCTTAAGGTCTCTAGGGCGGGTTTAGGCTTTTGGGTTTAGGGTTTAGGCTTCAGGGTTTAGGGTTTAGGGGGGGTTCATGATGGATTCCTCGTTGTGTTCGATGGATAGTAGTTAGTTGTCCGGTTGTGTTATGTTTTGGTCCCTTCGTAACGTGTTATTTAAAGTGTCATGCATTGCCTGCTACTTGTATGGAAGTTTTGAGAGACCTTGGGTGTTTCTTAATTGTTGTAAAGACATTCACTTATCCATTTCGTATAGACATTCATGTATTATTTATTGATGTTGTATAGTTGAGTTGGCGAACCAAGCTGTCTTAGAAGCCTTGTTAAGATCAAGCCTTAAATTTCCTAAATCCCAAACCTGAACCTAAAATAAACACACGACTCTCAACTCTGAGCTGCAAGCTGACTGCTCAACCCAAACTCAAAGCGCACGTAATACAGGAGTCGGAATAATCCGCAATAGTGTACCCTCATCGCTCCTATATAACTATGGCAAGAAAAACAGTCTCCACTTATAGTCCCTCTAAAGCTATGACACAGTATACCTCTATTCTAATTTGTTGAGGAACCCTAAACCCTTAACTACCTATCTTCCCTAAACCCCAAACCCTAAGCCTTATCATCTATAAACCCTAAACCCTAAACCCCTAAACCCCTAAACCGCTAAACCCCTAAACCCTAACCCTTAGCATCGAAGGACTCATATTATAAGGCTTTTGGGCCCAAAGACTCTATTATATAAGGCTTTTGGGCTATTTTGATGCTAAGGGTAAACCCTAAACCCCTAAATCCCCAAACCCCCAAACCCTAAACCCCTAAACCCCTAAACCCCTAAACCGCCTAAACCCTAAACCCCTTAACCCTAAACCCTAAACCACTAACCCCCTAAACCCCT